TGTTTTTTTGTTTTGTTTTTTAAGAAACCCATATGAAAACCCTCAATATAACAAAATGTTAGGATCTTGTTTTTTGTAACATGTTCATATTGGAAGTTTAGTAAACAATTAAAGTTGTTTTAAAAGTATTAGAGAAAAGTGTTTTTTGAAAATAATGTCAAATAATAATTTGTCTGCTTTGTGAAATAATTGAAGGTTTTAATTGTATTATTTCAACAAACCTATAAAATATTTATTGCTTAGAACTGCTAAAAAATGGTAATGAACTGTAATTATTACAACATAAAGTTTAATGCTAGACGGTAAATAAACCTAAAATTATAGAAATGAACCATAATTATTACAATATTTTTAAACTAGACAATTATAAACCCTAGAAAAATTTAAAATTAAACCAGCTTTTAAGCAAAATAATAGTTATTTTTACTATGTCAAAAAAAAAAATCCATAACATTTACAGTACATCGGTTGCAGTTCCATTAAGCCAATTACGGTGCTACCGTATTTTTTACGGTAAAGTTCTGGCAACCACAGCTTGCTTATTAACATCGTATTTTTGTTTTATAGTGTATGACCAAAAGGTTGAGTTAATTATACTTGAAGGGGTGTCCCAAACCTTTCTTTGAATGAAGAGGGCTAGAGGAAGGGCTTAGGGAAACCACAAACTACACTTCAAAACAAAGGCGTAAGACGACCACCATCCTGAACAAAATGTAAGATCAACAAAGATAAGTGAATAAACGTTTTAAATTATCAAAAATATGTCCATGTATAGATCATTACAAATCATTCAATCACAAATACATTTTTACAGGAATAATAATAAATGTGATTATTTAGGCATTAACATTACAGTATAGACTCTTTTATGGCACATACAGTTCTGGTTTGTTTATATTTAATGGCATTTTAATAATGTAATTTGGGAGGAGCCGGGAGGGTAATTAACCTGAAGGCACTCAATCTCCAACTGGCTCTCGCCGGTTTATTATAGCTCCGGTAAGCTTCTTCCTGTTTAAAATTAAACGCCCCACCTCCACCTCTTCACCACACTGGGGCCTTTGGGTTCTAGAGTCTTTTCAAAGACAGATCGCCAAACATGTGTGGCATCATGAGGCTAATTAACATATCGTGAACTAGTGAATGTGTAAAAAATGACTTCCAGTAGTGATCCATTAGTTGATATTTCAGAACTATTTGGCTGAAATATACTATTTGACTTCGTAGTGGTGTCCCAATTTATTGAGGTATACTTTAGCTGTTCTTCTTAGCCCTCAGTTTCAATGCTAGGGGCTAGGGATAGGTAAGAGAAACTCAGACAAAGTGACACCCCTCTATTAGACATTTCTAAACACTGATTTTTCTTTAACTGTCCTTGAGAGGTTTTGGATCTACGGCATCATGACTAATAGACTGTTTACAAGTCCAAACAGAATGCGCTGAAGATTTGAAAATCCTTTTAAGAGCCAAGTTATTCTAAAGAGGAGGCGGGTTTGAGTGATGAGGTCCTGTAAAGTGAAAGGCATCAACAAGGCAAGAAGAACAATAGCCTTAGATTAGGAGCCATTAGTCTACTGCATTACTGCCTTGTGCATATTAAGACCATCGTTTAGCACCATTTAACAAGACAGAAATCCCAAGTTCTAAATTGGAAATTCATTCCCCCAGGTAATTGTAATATGAGAAACTTGAAATGCATTTGATCTGACCTAATTTCAATTAATTAGACAGGACGACTGTTTGGGGAGACTCAGAGGGTCGTTAATGTAGGCTGAGGGGCCATGAGGAACACATTGGAAAAGAATGAAAGAGCCATCAATAAACTGTTAGAGACTAATTATTCCACAAATCAGTTTCCCAAAGTCTTGACTCTTTAACACCAGCCTGTACCCTAATTACTGGTCACAGCATCCATTACTACCGGCCTGCCCACGGTGCTCATGCCACACCGAGTACTAATGACTGTTCGGCAAGCCAATATTAAAACCTGCAAGTGATTGTGAAAGAGAAGGAAAGACTAAAGGTCTTTGACATGAAATACGCGTTCCAGTCATTAATCATCAGAGTTTAAGGGAATCTGTCACTAAGCAGATATTCACTGTTATTTATGAATTTCTTGAACACATACTGTAATGGCAAAAAATAAATAAATAAATATTAAAAAATATATTTATTTACATTCATCCAAAAGCAAAGTTATTTTTTGTTCTGTTTAAAAATACAAAATAAAGCAAGTCTTTCACAGAGAAAGCAAATACTCAAGCCAATGTCTTGGGAAAATTGTGTTAAATACCACTTTGTTGTTAGTGTAAAATATTTTGTCCCCAAAAACTCTATACTGCAGCAAATCTACCTCTATGTCCCATGAACCAGTAAGAAAGAAAGACTGCATCATGTGACCTCAAGGCTAATCTATATATACTTCACTTTTTTACATAAACAACTAATTCAGGCAAGTTGTGATGTGACCTTATACATTTTCCGGGTGAGGTTGGGAACCAAATCCAGCTCCCCTGGCAAAACCACACCCAGTACCTTTTTTTTGGGAGGAGGGTGGACCATGCACACGTCTGGAAACCTGTCTGCCCACAAACCACAACCACTTTTAACCACTATTAAAAGGCTCATCTATGCACCTCTGCATTTGAAAGACCTACGATTCACGCCCACTGATTCTCCATGATTACTTCCAGCCTTCTTGGATCTCCTCAGCTACTAGCAGTGTATGTTCTAGGTTTATCCATCTCTCCATCTGCTCCTGTTGAATACTCACTTACCACTCAGCTCTGCTTCCATCATTTTCTCTAAAGACATTGCTTCCTGACTCTATTTCCCTCTGTGAGCGACAGAATACTAAATGTATTCCTATATGGTATGTTTTTCTTCTGTACAGCTGCCTTTAAGCTTCTCTGCCCCTTCTCACAGCCCCCGTGAACACATATTGGCTCCTCCCACACGCCAACTTAGACAATGTTATTTAAAAACTAGATGGCTAAAATTTGTACACAAATGTTGATGTTGGCATGTAAAAATACAGTTTACTTTTTTTTTTAAATGTTATTAATGTAATATAACCCAGCACGCATATCCCTAAGCTGAGATAGAGATAAAGCAAAATGCTTGCTATCATAGAACTAAATCAATCCACAATGTCACTATGATTTTCCTAAGCCTAGAAAAATAGCATTGTTACTATTTAAATATTCAAGTGAGTTACAGTTTCACAAAGTTTGACTCCATGTTAGGTCAAGGGAAAAGTTCCCAGCGATATCCCAGAATTCCTTATGTGGTTCCAATTGAAAAATATACAGCAACTTGTGTCAGACCAGTTGGATGTGTTGGCAAAGTTTTGTGGCTGTGGTTCGAACAATCGAGGAGGAGATACGCTTAGCAAAAGAGGAATGACAAGAAGAGGCTTTACAATCTTTTAATTTCTTTTAATGAACACATTAAACAGAAACACTATTTGAAATTCTATCATAATCAATGTTATTGCACATTTTTGTTTCTGGTTTACAATTTCCTCCCAAGCTTCAATCATGAAGAGCCAGCGGGAATATTACATAAGAAACTTATCTGACCACCACGACCAGACCTACGCAAACTCATTTTCACACCAGCAGCAGCAGGTAAAGAAGAAAATGATAGCAAGAGAGATTCAAGGAGAAAAATGAAATTCTGAGAGGATATGAGATGAGCGGGCACAAGGAGAGATGATCAGGCTCTGGTGACCTCCGGCTGGGGGGCTCTACAGCACCCTGCTGAATGTGCCTAATTGGTAGAAGCGTGTGAATAGACATCAGCCCAGGCAGCCGAGACAGGAAAAAGAAGAAGAGCCAACGCTGAGAGGCTGGAGGAGCGCTGCGCCCCATTCTTCTCCAGCCTCCCCAGGACCAGGCTTCAGTCTAATCACTGCAGATTATCTCCCACTAATGGCAACCCACGAATCGGCTTCTTTGCCTCGATGAGCCAAGAGGGAGGCTGAGAAATACAGATCAACAAATAAAGCTGATGGCTTAGCACAGCAGGGGGTCTGGCAGCGGTCACTCTTTGGAAATGAATCCACGTGTCTGACTCCCAGAGATCAGGGAATTGGGTAAAGCCGCTGAATGAATAAAGGAAGCAAGATTTGGATGAAATCAAATTTTTTTAAGTCTCATTAATGTTGAAAATACTTAATAACAGTATATGCAAGAACATGGTAAAAAATGTTATTAACTTTTATATGCAAATGTTGTTAATGACTTTCATATCATGTTTTCATGTCTTTATCTTAAAAGATAAACTTATTATGCATATTATATAGTCCCATCAAAGTCACGTAAAACAAATATGTTTAATTTCTAAATATTTCTTAGCTTTTATACAGCTGAAAGACCCTGGGGTCAAGGAAAACCCTGAGGAAAACGTGTGTGACAAAATGTGTACAAACCATAATATGTTCAAATAAAGGGGGAAAAAACATTATGTTAATTTTATGTTAAGCAGGTTCTCTCCGTAAAATTAGGAAAAGTCATTCTGAAGCAAAATAAATAAATAAATAAATAAAAAAGTGAGGACATGTACATACGTTAAACACAGAATGGGGTCAAGGATCTTAGAAAGGTTACCATTTTTTATTATGGGGGAAATATTTTTTGATGGTTTAAAGTTACAAATTGCATACGGTCAAGTTTGATCATATAAAACAGCATTTATTATCACTATTATTTAATTTGCTTTCATTAAGCTGACTAAAATTTTGACATAGTTTATGTGCATGTTTTTGGGTCTTTCACTCTAGGCTGTAAAATTTGTAAAAAAAAAAAAAAAAAAAAAAAGTTACATTTTACAATTTGAATAAAGCCCCTTCATGGGTCCTTGTAACTCTACTGAGTGTATCCTAAACCCATGGGTGGGGATCAATCTGAGGACAAACAAGGGTTAGCGTCGAATAGACGTTAAGCACATGCAACAAAACGAATGTGCAGAACTTTTGAGAACTTTCGTTATGAATGGAATATCCCTTTAGTTGGTTGAGCATTGCATTCACAATGCAAAGGTTGTGGGTTCAAATCCCAAGGAAAGCAAGAACTAACTAAAAAAATGTAAGTTGCTTTTGATAAAAGAGTCTGCCAATTGCATAAATGTTATTTATAAAGCATCAATCATTGCTTTATCAGGAAAATCAACAACATTAATCCATCAAACGCAATCCTTGAAAGCATGTGTGGAGAATGAGTTCCTGTTTTGTCATTCATCCTCTCTAATGCCTGGCCCGGGGTCTCAATGCAGGGCAGGAGAGAAGGCAATGCTCTTTACCTCCCGGGGTTTCCATTATTCCTCCAGCATCCTATAAAATGGAGGTCATATCAGGTGCCATTTTCGCAACCTGCTTCTCCAGATGCACCATTTTCTCCTAAAATGACACACACATTATGCTTTAACAGAGAAGCAAATCTGAAAACGCTGCGCAGACCCTCCACAGGGACATGAAGGCAAAAAACAAACAATAAAAGCATCGCAATCTGCACAAACTGTTTCCTTCTGCATGCAATAACCAACAAAGTGCCAGCATCCTTTTGTAGGAATCTTCACTTGGAGTATTCCTGAAGCGTTCAAGTTTGTTATGTGGCTATTGCGTGTGTGGAAGAGGATGGAAAGACTTGCTTTATTATGGCAACTGGTTTACTTGCAGATTACGATTAGAGACTTCATGACATTTTAGTTAAGAATCAGTCCAAAATTAAACTGCATGTACTCTCATTAAATTTAATTTAAACATGTGTTTAGTAATTTTTGAAAAAGCTTGGAAATCTGGGCCAACCATGTAAATTGATGTGCTATCAGTGATAAGGGGTGTATTTATTAGTTATAACCACAGTAACGAATATCTGACGAGGCAGAAATGGGCACCAAAAGTTTTAAGCCCAACTGGGTTCGGTGAACGTTGTTGGTTCAGAAGTTAAAATGAGATTTGAATTTGTTAGGTTAGCGTCCTCTGCTAAAGAAACAATTTTTATGCCGACGACACTCAATTCCACCAGTCTTTCCATCCTGATGATTCTACTGTTTACTGATCTCTATATCCACCTTTATCCGAAATGTTGGGGTGATCTTCGTTGAGCAACTAACATTCAAGGAGTACATCGCTAAAACCACGAGCATCAGATTAGCTCTGTTTAACATCAGAAAGATGAGACACCTCCTTACAGAACATTCGACTGAACTTCTAGTCAAAGCACTGGTCATATCAATCCATCATTTTTTTATTTTATTATTACAGTGGTACCCCGAGATGCAAAATTAATCAGTTCCAGGGTGCCGTTCGTATCTCGAACATTTCATATATCGAAGCAAGTTTTACAAGTAAAACGCCTAATCCGTGCAACGCCTCTCAGAAACAACAGTATAAGTTACGTAAAAAATAGGAAAGCCAGAGAAAAATCAAGTAACGTTTCTTCAATCCTTAAATCTACACATTGTTAATGTAATAAATGATAAAAAAACAGAATAAAACACAAGCAAAATACGTAATATGTACACAAATGTGAAACCTTACATTGAGTGAAGCGATGTGCCGGAGGAGGAAGAACGAATGGCAGAAAACATTACATCACCACATATTAAAGTTCCTCGAGATATTTCACGAATTACAAACACAAACACGGTTTCAAGCATGAGCACAGACAGATGGAGAGACGCTTCTGAGAAAGCGTCACTGGGTTTCTCTAACTTGCGCTACAGAACAGCACTTTCCATGTTATAAACGTTATTTCTTTTCTGATACCTTGACTCTAATATTTGTTAGAGCACGTTATTGGAAAATCTATACATAATGTTTCGCTTGATTTAAAACTGATTTAAAGTGTTTTGAAGTGTATTAGACCCTTTTTGCACTGGGAGAAAGGAGCACCAGGACCCGGAAGCGCAGCGTGATGTCTAATCAAACGGATAATAGAGCAGAACTGCTTGTGGTTTTTCGTTTCTTGAATTTTTCTTCGCATCTCGAAGCAACAACTTTTCCGCGAGACCTTTCGTATCTCAACAGTGTATTATTATTAATTTTATATATATTCATTCATTCGTTCATCTTCTAACACCGTTTGTTTCCTTTTAGGGTCACTGGGGTCTGCCGGTGCCTATTTCCTGAGCGAGAGGCGGGGGTACACCTTGGACAGACTCGACTACTGCAATGCTCTTCTCTCTGGACTTCCTTCCTATGGAATCAGACCCATATTATAGAGAACTCAGAGACTTGACTGACCTTCATGGAACCTATACGAATCCTCTCCTCATTTCTCTCCACTGGCTTCCCATTGCTGCTCGCATCAAGTTCAAATCACTGCTGCTTGCATACAGGACAGTCACAGGCTTCACCCCATCATACCTTCACAAACCTCTGTAGTCTTACGTCCCCTCCAGATGCCTTCGTTCAAGAAATGAACAACGTCTAGTGGCTCCCTTGCAGTTCCTGACTGGTGGAATTCTCTTGAAGTCCCAATCCGGAACCACTCCTCTGAAAAAAACTACTCAAAACTGAACTCTTTCAAGAACCCTTACTAACTAACTTAATAAAAAAACACAGATTTTGTTCTGAATTAGCTTAAACCCTTTATATGTGCATTTCTGCTAAATATAAATGTAACTAGCGAAACAGGTCCTCTTCTGAGCACTAGTTGCCACTTCAGTGACCTGCAATTCCTTCCCTGCCACACGGTGGTGCAGAATCAATTAACACTGTTTTTATAGAAGGAGAAGAGGATGTGCATTTTTTTCTCGAGCACCACCTTTTGCTGCCTTTCTCAGCTGAAGACATGTGACCAAACGAGCCAATCACAGTGGTTCGAAGCACTTCATGAAAACTTGACGCATCGACGCACTGTGTTTTTCCCGGCTGATTCAATGCATGCAGCAGATGCATAGATGTGAAAAAGGCCTTTACTCAAGCATCATTTGTGATACAGTATCTTTGCTGTGTTTTTTTTTGTTTCAGACGCTAAAGATTTGTTATAATGACGATCCGTTCCAACAACTTAGCTTGTTTTCTTTAAAGGAATAACTAGATACACGGGTATCTATGGTCCAATGCACTGCATGAAAGGTATTTAAGGTACAAAAATCTGCAATAGGGGCATTTAAAAATATTTTGCATTAGATTTTTCCGTGAAATTTACCAAAGTTGACTTAAATCAAGCATAAATAAAATGTATTCATTCATTCTCAAACCCGCTTATTCCCTTTCAGGGGTATGCTGGTGCCTATCTCCAGTGCACATAGGGCGAGAGGCGGGGGTACACCCTGGACAGGTCGCCAGTCCATCACAGGGCAACATTCACACCTAAGGGGGAATTTAGATTTTTCAATTAACCTAACCGCATGTTTTTGGGATTGTGGGGGGAAACTAAGTACCTGGAGGAAACCCACGCAAGCACAGGGAGAACATGCAAACTCCCTCCACAGTGCTACCCACTGCGCCACCGTGAATATATTAAATGTATTATCTCTAAATGTATTATTCTTCTTTTTTATCTTTCTGCAAAACATTAATAGCATTACTTTATAATATACAATGAGTATACAAGCAGTTTCAGGTCTTTTGAAACATATTGAACAAAAACATAGAGAAATTTAATTCAATTGCATGTTGTTTTGTTCAGCAATTGACAAAATAAAAGCACTCAGAGAACAACACATCCAAGAGATATTTCCAAGAGCAAGTAAACAATATTCTGCACAATGAAAAGACTGATCAGCAAAGAAACGAATCACCTCCTGATGACGTTCTTCTCACCCGCAGCCACGGGTTCATGCTGCAGTCCCCACAACATCAACAAGACCATAAAGCGATTGAGCACATAATTGTTCCTCACATTCGTAAACTCTCCGTTATAGCCAAGTTAAAATTCAACACGCCAGCAGCAAGAGCCTCCTGCTCAAAAATGGCAGCAGATGCCAGTCTCAGCTGGCCTGGGAACTATGCTGTGCTGGAATACCTGTCTCTGATCACAAAAGCAAGCCAGCATCTGTTTATTGCAGCTATGGTAGCAATAGAATAAAACAACAACAATGCAAAGCACTTGTGTGGTAAAACTCCCTCTTCCAGCCATCTGGATAATTGATCGTTGGATATCATAAAAAGAAGTCGAATGTCTCCTAATAGCAGGCTTCTTAAAAACTCGTTTATCAGTTCACTCGAGTTTATTCGCCAACATTCCTGGGACGTGTCATGATGATTATGAAAGACACATTATGAGAGGGATTATGCATCATTTGCGGTGGAAGATGATCAATGGCTTGTTTTAATCTGCCATCATGGCTTCCTTCACCAGGAATACACTGAAGCAGCTGGAATGTCTACACTAATGCAGCTGCATCTCTTTACATTGGTACCAAACACGCTCAAAACGGCCGTCAATCAGAAGATGTAGAGCCATGCACCCTGGTCATCTGCACCGTGCGCACTCTGAATCATTTACTGTCACCTCAAAGACATTTCCAGTCATTGTCTACAGGAAAGGTCTGATTGCTCCACGCTATCTCACTGATAGCTTTCTCACCCTCTCCCCTGCATTATGTAGATAACCTGTGACGATATATATTCTGTAGGGGTCAGTCAGAGGTTGCAGTCACATGCACTCTCTGACAGAGATAACCAATGCCGGCATGTCAGCACCAGGGGGTAGAGAAGCCCCCCTGTAGGGTGTCCTCAGCTTGGCTGCTAGACATTCATGTCGAATGGGAGCTGAATGAAGCACTCTTGAGAGGGGATCGGGAGGAGGTCTTTGATCACTGGTAAAGGAAATTAAGCAGGAAGAGGAAATGCAAGCCTTGCAGCAAACATACACAGATAAAAATGGACATAAATCAAAAAAAGGCTTCGTGATTGTAGAATTTTTTTTTTAAATTATCAATTAAACATTATCTTATGTTTGTTCTCATTAAATAAATGCCAATTATTAATATTTGTTTTAATTGAAACCAGTACACACACACGCACACATACACACATGTGACTATACGTCTAAAATATAATATTAAACGTAAAAAAATGCTGTAAAAACAATACATTTTGGGGTAAATGTACA